GAGTGAGGGCCACGCGTGCAGAGTGGCAGCCTCATCTTTACTTTAGGCAAGCTAGTAGCTTGAATAGACATGATGAGGCTCTTAAGGTTGTGCAGTATTACCGCGCACTGATAATATATAACTACTTTCATCCGAAATCTGGAACGCCGTTATTGCTAAGGCATATTAGAGATAGATGTATTTTCTACCATGCGTCCATCTCTCAATTCTCCAGGTTATCCTACGAGGAAGAATCCTATAAGTACTGTCTTATTTAGTTGTATGATGTTTCTCACGAACGCACTCATCAACTAACGTAACTCTGTTATTGCAAGAAAACCAGCAAAGCCTGCTAATGTAAGATTAAACGAGAATATATTTATTAGATTTGATCAAGTTTTAAGAAATTCTAAATTTTAAATTTTAATTAGATTTAAAGAATTTGACCAATCGAAAACAGATTATCGGTGCGTCACGTTAAGAGTTATGGGATCTCCTCCTGATTCTTTAAGTCTTTTTCTTCTTACTAACCACTCGATCATTACGCTGCAATTGCTTTTTGGTACGTTATGTCCGAAATGTATTTACGTTGCCTTTGGCGACGCGGTATTAATACTGGGGCTTAGACATACAGTGGGCCCACACTGCATGGAGAACAACGCGTTACCTGTCTGCAGTCTTCACTGGATGAAGTTGGAAAGCCGATATATTTAACAGGACATATTTTGGTTGCTCATGGAATCATCCAATTTGAAAATGCTGCTAGGCACAATTTGACGGAGAAAACTCGGATGTAAGCCAACCATCTCAGGTACATTCCATTCGTAAATGTTTCGTCAGAAGTTCCACGGAGGTCGACTCGGAAAAAGGAGCTGGGGGGGGGGGGGGGCATCGTTGTTCTTCCTGTAATTAACACTTGACGCATGATGTATGGGATGTCGTCTTGAGGAGGACATAACCTAACATCTTGTAAAAACCATAAAACAAGCTCGATCTTAATACATATTGTAGAAAACCAGGATCCCTTGATCCGGCTCTGTGCTGCCCCCCCCCCCCCCCCCCCCTCCCCTGAGGCTTGCGGGAGGGATGACAGGCATCGCCCGGCAAGTTGACTAGACATGTGCGCTTTGGAACCGAGGAACGAAATAAGAGATTTCACGTAATGATCGTGGAAGTCCCTCTCGCTTAACTCTGGCCATCATTCATAGCGTTTCCACTTACCAGTAATATATAACACTGATCATCCTTTTCCAAGCATTAGGGATGTTCTCAAAATCTGCAAAGACATCGAGGTCAACAGACATGTCACAACAGAAACAGAGCTTTCTTCCGCGAGCCGCCAGCATGCGTTCTTGCATTGAATCTTGGTTCCATAAATGTTTATTAGGTTGTGAGTCAACTTTTTCCGCCGCTTTGCTTCGCCGCGAGACTCGCATACCCTAAAATTCGCGCATGCTGAGACCCGTTTTGGCGCAAATGGCTTCCATTGTCCCATAAAATGAATATATCTGCAGACATAAGTATGATTGTTTAGATATCATGGATAAGGGCAAATGAAACGGGGTCCTTAGTATGCTGCGTTGAGAGTTACGGAATGTTCTCCTGGATCTTCCCTGCCTCGCCTCGCTTTGTTAGGACCGAAAACAAAGTGCAAAAGTGCCCTTGTGGTGTGTTTTGGGCCTGATTGCGGATAATAAGATGCGTTCTGGACTAGAGATTTCCTGTTCGTCCTGGTATAAGCAAAATTAGATAACAACTGTCAGGTCTTCCAAGATACCATGTAATGGGCGCTGCATGACCTTTAGCAGTCGATGCGCCCTAAAACCCCAAATCATCACCATCATCATCAAGATACCATGTAAAGGAGCAATAAGTATAGGCAGATATTTCACGATTCATCCGTCCACCTTGATCGATGATTTTGTGCGAGGAAGGTTCTCCTCCCTTCTGATGGCCGGCACCGTTCCGAACACGGTTTATCATCGGAGGCGACCTTACAAGAACGAACAGTATGTGCCCTTCACTAGCAGAACCTTCTGAAAAAGGTTAAAGCTTTTGATGATTCACAATGAACGTCACGCGCCTTTTCAGTGCTCGCGCAGAAATATAGCTATTTGTCCCCGTGAAGTGCCCACAATAGTGAAGAGCTCTTTCAAACAATTCTCAGCATACTAACGTAAGCATTTGAATGCCACCTAATTTTCTGAAACTGTTACAGTGCATGACAAAAATGCCGCCTCGCGGTAGGTTTATTGTTACCAGAAATATAACATCAAAACACGTTCACATACTTCTCGACCGTAAGATATTAACACGCGCACGAAGCTCGGTCCCTTTGATGTATCAGGCACGTACTGAGCCCAAAATATATGCCGTAGTGTTATTTATCACGTTCACGTCTGCACTGAGCGGCACTGTTCTGTGCAGTGGAAGATTAACTGTTGACATTGGTTTTAACACCGCACCTTTCACTTGCGTCACACAGCCACGCGATTTTAAAGCTCAGAGGTGGATTGTAGCACGAGTGAAGCGGCATCGGGTGGGGTGGTGCGAGTCTGCCGACGCCTGGCGCCCCGCGTGACTGGAGCGCCGTCGCACGCGACGGACGCCATCGGACATTACGGACGCCGTGACACGCCGCGGACGCATGCGTGACGAGCTGTCGCCCGAGCCCGGGCGGGGCGGGGCGGTATCGGTCGGTGGCGCTGGAGCGTGCAGTTACGACCGGCGGCCGTCCGGAAGGTTCCCGGTGGGCGGAACGGAAGCGGTGCCGGCCGGACTGCCGCAAGCTCTGCCGACAAAGCGGGCATTCACCCACTGTGGCTGCCACTGGTCGACAGCAGCAGGCCGATCACACGGCAGGCGCCACCAGCTGGGAGCTCTTGCTAGATGGGGCGCATACTGCCACGTGGAGCACGGTTTGCGCGGTGGAAGGTTCACGGGCACCGTTCTGTGCATATCTTTGTACAACTAAGCTAGACAGCCAAACAGATCACTGAAAAGTGACGACACAACAGTGTGCAGCCAGCAGATGCCGACGTCAAGGGCCAAGTGAACAGGTTGCTCGGATGCTGAGCCGTCGATGCGTTGCTTCTCTGAGCGTTGGTTCTCGGAATGAACTGATAAACTGCACCTTAATTGTTGTTAATTGGAGTTTTAGGGCGCGTCGACTACTGTGGTCATTTTGCGCCCAAGCTGCACCTTAGGTACTTTTTTAAAGGGAGTGTCTCACCTTCGGGGCACATGTCAAAACATATTGTACTGAATCCTCAGGACCAGTTATGTTTAATAAAAGTACGAGATAGTGCCGCTGCAGCACCATCAAGGCATGTTAAGGACATCAAATCTCATTATTTTCGAGTCCAAATTACGCTGTCAACGCTTAGTAACAGCACTACGCTTCTTCCCTACCGCCGTGACTGCCATCGTCATGAAAACCGCCGAAGCACCTCCACTGGCGCGAATGAAAGAACATTTGTAATGACTCAGCTGGTGGCAAGAGGCTGTTATCAAGAAGCACATTGGTTTACGCCATGCATCAGTGCATCACTTTAGACCATGTCATACTTCCATTCCCAAAGCCTAAGTGCACGTCGGAAAGAGTTATTGAAGTAAACACCATAGGAGAAAAATAAAAGTCGCAGCATAACGTTTCGTATAATTTTCGGAATCATGGCTTCATGTTCGTTTATTTTTTGTATAAGATTATGTTTCAGGCTTTCATAGCATTTATTGCATAAGCACTTTGTCAAGCTTGTGTGATGCAAGCATTACATAACATACGCGCTGGGAAAAGCAAGGTAAATAAAATGTATGAAATTCATGGTGATGCGCAGGAAATCCAATCAGGTTTCTCCCCCAGGAATGGCTGCTTAAAATAGAAAGTCTGAGCTGTTCGGAGGGATTTCAAGAAAACTGTTATCAGTGGTCAAATTGTACGCATCTTATCTAGCAATCAGTAAAAAGTACAAAAAGTGGCATGCTGCATTTAAAATGAGGATATGCTTTTTGCTTTTTCATCTCGATAAAACAGTGGTATCAGCCTTATTCCTCGGAGAAAACCCAGAGGAATAAAAGTATGTGTTGACATTTTGGCAACATGCCGTTATCAAACGAATAGCAGAAGAATAATAGCACTTCTGGCATTTGTTTTGATACAGCCATATTGTCGAAATATCAACGCATCTATATCTCCACTTCTCTGATTTTTTCTTCGAGGAAGAAGGCTATTACTGCTGTCTTATCTCTGTTAATAATGTTCCTCGCTAATGCACTTAACAACTGACGCAGCTTTTCATCTCGCCTTCTCTGTGCGTTGCTGTCATTAATCAAAGGATGTTAAAAATGTCAAAGGATGTTAGGATCTGACCAACAAACACTCCCGTCGCGCTACAATCCTCGCTACACGACTTAAAGCCTCTGAGCTGTGAGGCGGCTCAAAAAGTACCTGCTTGTGCTGTGGGGATGGGGTCGCATGCCTACAGAGCAGCCACCGGCAACTAAAAGGTCGTGCACGCGTGGGAACAAGCAGTTTGAAAGTTCTCCTGAGTGACATAGACCATTATTTACATGTATCGACGTAGGATTGTTGTCAACCAAAAGGAAAAGGCATGACCTTCCCCATGGCACACCTGTCCCTACATCCATGTGCCAGTGGGCTGCAGCCTGCTGTGTTCCAGGTCGTGCTGCTGCTGACGGCCTGCTGTGTTCCAGGTTGCTCTGCTGCCGACGACCTGCCGTATTCCAGGTCGAGCTGGAGCTGACAGACTTGCTGTGTCCCAGGTCGAGCTGGTGCTGACGGCCTGCCGTGCTCCAGGTCGTGCTGCTGGTGACGGCCTGCTGTGTTCCAGGTCGAGCTGGTGCTGACAGCCTGCCGTGTTCCAGGTCGAGCTGGTACTGACAGACTTGCTGTGTTCCAGGTCGAGCTGGCGCTGACGGCCTGCCGTGTTCCAGGTCGTGCTGCTGCTGACGGCCTGCCGTGTTCCAGGTCAAGTTGGTGCTGACGGCCCGCCGTGTTCCAGGTTATTCTGCTGCTGACAGTGACCGCGGCCGCCGCCGAACTCGGGCGGCCGTGCCTGCGAGACAGCAACTGTGCAGACGTGGCCAACAGTCGCTGCTGGCGGCGCCGCTGCGTCTGCGAAAGATTCTACGTGCAGTTGAACAACACAGCCTGCCTGCCGCGTACGTTGCGAACCGTAGCTGGGCGTGCAGGGAGAGGCGTCTTGCGGCAGTGGCCAACAGCAGTGGCCCTGGTTTGTCATGCTTACGTCTCTTAGCGTGTGCCAATATATGTCGGGTTCCAATCGGTCGCCAGCGTGGGAAGTCGCTTTAGAAAGCAAAACGGCGTCACTTATTAGCTCCAGCAAAAATCGTAAAATTTTGATGTTATCCTAAGGCACAATAAATTTCCGTTTTATGGGGCACAGGCTGAGACGAAGGCTGAATAACCAAAAGCTGAATAACCAAAAGCTGAATAACCAAAAGCTGAATAACCCAAAGCTGTTAAGTGCGCATCCGCAAGACCAACTCATCAGAAAAATATCGAAATGTCCTGCTCATTTTAAGGCAATGGATAATCTGACTCTGGCTACATTCATTTGGGAGAAGTAGAGAACAACGAGTTGGGCAAAGAACACCCAGAGTTGGCTGGTTGCACAGGCTGATGCATAAGGAACGTTGGGGGAAAGAATTTGAAAGTAAGGTCTCAACACGTTCGGGTTGCATTCAACACACGGTTATGCGCATGTTATATTGTTTCGATCAAGTACATTTCGCAGATACGTGTCACGGAGACCTTTTGCCGGATCTGGACTTGACTGACTGCTTGACGTGTTAACCAAAGCTCATAGCGTATCGGACTTGCTTACTGTGCCGACTTCGTCGTAAGGTCACGACATGGCCAGCCGGCCGTTAGCTGGGCCTTAACCGTACGTGTACTCCCACAGCGTCTCTGCTGGGCTTCCCCTGCGTGGAGGACGCCCAGTGCCGGTCGCGTGTCAAGAACACCGCCTGCATCCGCGGCGCCTGCCGCTGCAGTCTGGGCTTCTCCACATACAAACGGCACGCCTGCCTCGCACGTACGTTACACCTGCCATGACCCTGCTTCGGTCAGACAGGGCCGTCTTCTGTGGCCATGGGAACGTCAGAGCGTAGAGCCCATTGGTTGGCCATTTTCAATGTTTCTGGATGTTTCCAAACCTTAACTTAGGTTAACGCTTGTGTCGTGTTTTTTTTTTTTGACTGCTTAGAAGGGAATGCATCAATGGTAATCAGACGTCCTGAAATAAAGCTAAAAGCTAAAGCTTTTCGGCCCAAAATGACGCTTTTTGGTCCTGGTGATTGATATTTTTGGTGATGACATCGAAAACTTGCAGCTGGCGTGTCATTCATCCATAGCATATCACAGACCACCATAAACACATCTTGTAATTGTCGTGCGAAGAATGTTGGTGACGATCTACGCCATTATTCACACTGGCGTTGCGGCTACCTTGTTAGCCTGCTAAATGGTGCCTTCGTCACTGTCAACCAAGACTGCCGCCGGCTGAGTTTGCCGACGCCAGCCGCAGAGCTCGCGACTTGAAACAGATGTGCTCACTGTTGTCTTCATCGAGCTGGAATATTGAGGGAGACGTGTTCACTGTTGTCTTCATCGAGCTGGGAATATTGGGGAGACATGCTCACTCTTGTCTTCATCGAGCTGGAAATATTGGGGGAGACGTGCGCACTGTTCTCTTTATCGAGCTGGAAATATTGGGGAAACGCGCTCACTGTTGTCTTCATCTCGCTGGAAATATCGGGGAGACGTGCGCACCGTTCTCTTTATCGAGCTAGAAATATTGGGAGAAACGCACGCAACGCTGTTTTAATCCAGCTGGAACTAGGTGTTTTCATCGGGCTGGAAATATTGGGAGGGGGCCAACTGTTGTCTTTATCGGGTTGGAAATATTGGAAGAGACGCGCGCACTGCTGTCTTCATCGAACTGGAAATGTTGGGGAGGCTCGCTCACACTTATCTTCATCGAGCTGGAAACGTTCAGGTAGTCTTTGAAATACCATACTGTATACCTCATGAAGCCCCTCGTGCAGGAGACATATGGGGACTGCGAACTGCACTGAGTGACCTTCAATATCGCCATTTCAGCTCAAAGCTCCATACAATTGTGTATGAATCTCCATGCCTTTTAGCGGCGCATACGATATAAACCGTTCTTATTTCTCATGCTTTTTAAGAAGTCAACTATTACTTGAAAACACGATAGACTGTCGGAGGCCAAATTTCACATGACGGGAGCCAACCAAACATTGGGGAGGGCAGTTTGACAATGGGGCGCCTGTGACCCCGCAAAGACATGTAATCGGAACAATCGCCGGAACCATGACCCTGCGGAACTACCGCCGGGAAGCGTAGGAATGGCGTTGAACACCGGGACGTCTACCGCAGATTTTGGCGTTTGCAGTGCGAGGAGCGACATTTTGAGATGACTTACACATAATGCGCAAATCATCATGGCTCGCTATTTCCGCGGCGTACCAATAGTTGTGTCGCATAATATGTTAGGTTCGCTATTCCCGCGGCGTAGTCGTGTCACATAATATGTTCTGCTCGCTATTTCCGCGGCGTACCAATAGTCGTGTCACATGGTGTGTTCGGCTCGCTATTTCCGCGGCGTACCAATAGTCATGTCACATAGTGTGTTCGGCTCGTTATTTCCGCGGCATACCAACAGTCGTGTCAACTACGTTTAGCGTCCTGTGTGAGATCCTGTGCACTAAGTCGCTTCACGAGAACACGCTTACATGCGTTCGACTATTTCGGGCACCTGAAACTGTGAGGAACAGTCTCCCTCGCTCTGAAAGTCGTGTGGGACGCGTCCACCACGCCTCCCACGGTGTCGCTGCCCTAGGCTGCAGGCGTCGGTCAACAGACGGATAGCCTCTAGGCCCAGATCATTTGCACATGTGATGCATGCATTTGACTGGAACATATATCTGTTAGCTATCAGACAATAAGGAACAATGAGGCCGTGCAATTAAGCGCTGCGATCTGTATTCTTCACACGTGTTCAGATCAATATGTTCCTATGCCACTAGGGAAAGACACCCTTCGAGTCAAATAATTCATTCTTGTTTCAGCGGCAAAACTGAACGAGACCTGCCACACGCAGGACCAGTGCCATCTTGGGACAAAAGGAAGCCATTGCAAGTTCATCATCCCACGAGTTATTGGCAGATGTCAGTGTCCGAACGGCGCTAGCCTAGTGGGAGCAAAATGCTTGAGATCTGCTGCAAGTAAGTGGCTGCTCTTGTTTGACTAACACTCTCGCTCATGCGCTGGTCAAGGAATATGTATAAACGTGCTCGCTATTTCATCATCTTGGCTAGCTGAATGGCGATTCTGATCGCCCGTACCCAAAGGCCACAGTGATGGTCTGAGGGTTCAACGTTAAGTACGTCGCACAGGGTTCTCTTGCCGTGAAAAATTTATTACACCCAAAATAAACCACCGTACAAGCGTTGGATATGAAGCATGGAATACACTTAGCAATCGATCGTGACACTAAGAGTACCCGACTTTGCTACAGCAAAGCGAATATTTCCTCTGATTTTTAACATTCATATGCTTAGCTTGCCACAAAAGACTTGAATGAAAATGACAGTACGTGCAAGCGATGTATCCATCGCGGTTCATCATTTCATGCCGATGATTTATGCGGTATAGTGCGTTCTTCTCTTGCAACGAAGCGGTGCTTCGGCTGCGAGGCTTATCTGTTTTTGGATACATGACCATTACACGATTGCATGTTTGCTAACCGCTGAGCTGAAGGCCACACGACTGACGACATCCACCGACAGCGAGCCTTCAAAGAACTCGAACACGCGACTGTCATCCCTCACGACCAACGCAGCCTCGTCCCCAGAGCTTTCTATTCCATTTGCCCGAAAACTTTGCCCTAATTTGTTCAGAGCCTGTACGTTGTCCGCTGGGCACATGTCGGTCCGTGCCACACCAGGCGGACGTGTTTCGTTGCCGACGATCTGACGGTCTGTCCAGACGGTCTGGACGGTCTGGTCTGGTGTGGACGGTCTGGACTATCAGTGTTCGACTCTCTCCACAAGTATAGCACGATTGTGAGTGGTCGTCGCGTGTGACTGACAGAGCTAGGCAGCCGCTGCCAGCTGCCCACCGAGTGCGGCTTGATCGCGCACGCCCAGTGCGCCCAGCACCCGGACAAGCCCAGCACGTGCCGCTGCGCACCCGGCTTCACCGAGTCCAACGACCTCACCTTCTGCCGGCCGCTGTACAAAGGTAACCGGCCGTACCAAACAAACCTCGGTGAATTATACAGAGAACAGGCTGCTGGGAGCCAGTGGAGAATGGTTTAGGGGGAGGATTCGTGTTACCCAATACTTTAGGGTGAACAACCAACTTTCTGCTGGGAATGAACACAACTAACCGACCGGTTTCCTGGCGGGGTTCGCGGAAGAATAGTCCAAATTCTGCCGAAAGCAAGAGATGCGCGGCTAGACAACTAGATACGTTCTAAGCAACCGGCATAGCTAAGCAAGCTACCGAGGCAAGCTAGGCGACTAAGCATAGCTACTGTTCAAAGTTAAACAGCCAGTGGCTAAGCACTACGCAGATGAACCTATGTGCTGTAAAAGGACAAGGTTGGTCTCCGGCTAGACGACTAGGTGGTTAGGCACCAATCGGTGGGTTAGCAGCCGGAAACGGCTGGATGGTCCGGCTAGCTGGCCGAGAGGCTACCAGATACTTTTAAAAGATGTAACTCCAAGGATTAGAGCCGTGGAATTGGAATGCATAAAGCCACTTGGTTTATCATTCAGTCAAAATAACAGATCCCTGCATGCTTTAACTTAGACAGCATTGTGTTGTATTTGAAACCACAAGTACATACTTCACAACCGCTTTTGATACAGCATACTTTGATTCATAGTGGTTGGTTGTGGTGGATTCTCCTTAGTTGCTTAATCGTGTAATGTAACGTACGTACATCTACCGGACTTCAACAGTCGAGCGATCCTACATAATCTGTAATCAGTATACTGACCGTGCATACAGGTCCTTTATCGTAGTTTATGTGGGGCCCTTGAAGACAATGCCACATGTGCCCAAAGTTTAATAGATATAAAACAAGATTAAGTAAAAGTACTCCACTCAGCACATTTTTTTTATCAACATGGCCTCGGGTGGGGCGTTCAAATTGACCCTCCCGAAGGTTTTTTCAAAATGATTTCCGAGCGGTGCGGCGTAGCCGCGCCGCTCGGAAAATTGAATAGCAAATTGATATGAATTAATTTAAAAAATATGAATAGCAAATAAAAAATAATAATAAATATGAATAGCAAGTATAAAATTGAATAGCAAATTGTTCGGCATCAAATATTTAAATGTACTCTGTAAGGTCGCTGACCTATGACAGGTCAGAGTCAGACCATGGTTTCAGCGAAGGCAATTCCTAGGAAATCCTTCAATATTATCCAACAAATGAGTGTTAGACGAAGCCATACATCTCTGAGGTGCTTTCTTAGGCAACACAACAGTTGAATGAGCAAATTACATTGACCTAAGGTCAGGTATAAAGGTCACACCAAGGTCAAAACCAACCTGTTTTGTTACTCCAGGGCTTGCTGTATGGGATAGATCCTGGTGCTCATTTCGAGTTCATTAAAGGCAGGAATCGCATTATATATATTTCATCGATTTCTTAGAGGTCAGAATAGGTCATTAATCTAAGATGACCCTGGTCAACATTTTGTTTAAGGAGCATACTCTCTAGCGTAACTTTTGTCGCTTAGTCATACGCAAAACTTAAAGCAATCTTGTATTATTTTGGTAACTTTGACCTTCAAAAGGTCAAAAAAGGTCACTGAACTTGAGTGATAATTCGACCTTTTACTTAGAAACGGTTATCTAGGTTCCGGGGGGCATTTTGGAGACCAGCCTGGAACTTGACCTTGTTTGACCTTTTTTGACCCGAAGATCATGGCCTAGAAGCTGAAACTTTGGCCTGAGTGAGTTCACGTACAGATCAACACACCTTGTAAATTGGGTGTTTCTAGCTTTCTTAGTTCCCGAGATCTCAGGGGAGTCAAATTGATCCCCACCCGAGCGAAGGGTATCTAGGAGGCCACCCGAGCGCGTGTTTATTTTGCAGACTTTGACAAACTTTGTTCTGGCTTGTAAATTTTCAGAAATACCTGAAAAAATGGCTTTGTTCTTGGTGGAATAGGAATGATTAACTTGCGATTTTCAGATCGAGCTGGGTAAATCAGCTAGCCCGTGGGTTGCCAGGTAGATTTAAAATGATCTCAGTTGCTAAAAAGTTGGTGGATGCAGTCTCCACTTAGCACTTATCAGTAAAACTGCTTGTGATATCTAGAATTGGTCATTGATCATAAAGGCCTAGTTTCATGAAAGGAAATGTGAACCTAAGCGCACCAAGTCGATACGAGCCGATCTGGCATGAATGGACGTGTCGGTGATACTGCGCTGTTTTTCGCTATAGCCTTTGCGTTTTATTTTTCAGTATGTTCAATTCGCATAGTTAAGTACATACATTCCATGTGGCGCCAATCAGAGACTGTAATTTAATCTGATGAAACTAGACTTTGGTAACAAATTGGGCCAACCAGAGGGCAGCTGGCACCGGACGGAAAAACCACCGATCCGAACACTGCACCTTCCTAATATTCGCCGCCAGCCTTATCACAAAGTCTGAACATGAATGCACAAAGCCGAGACAAACGCATGATTCCAACAGCGTACGTTTCCAGCAAACAAATTTTTCACGAGCATATTTAGCTGTCCGTTAGTAGCTCGGCATTCATAAGAAAGTTTTCACTGAGCTGGGCGACGGCTGCCAATGTCTAATTCATTTGCAGGGTGCAACTGGGGCCATTTTAATTTCAGGCTCCCGCTGAAGACAGCCTTCATTTTCCTTGCAATCGCGACGACATTTCAAATTTCATGCAAGAGCTCACTTCTGCGTGTAGGTCCAGCGCAGATCTTACGTCACTCACGCGGGTGTTTATTCGAGCACAAGGCGGCGCGTAGGTGTGTTCCTGGGTCCGTAGACGTGGGTGTATTTATTAATCGTAAACTGCAAGCAAGTAAACCACTTGCATTTCTCCACTCCACTTCAACAGCTACACAATTGAGTGAAAGAGCGAACTAGGAATCCAGTTCCTACGAAGTAGGTCACACGCAAGGTACCTTGCGTAATGAAGCGCCCTGTGCAGAGCTTCACGCGTTAGGTAATACATCGTTCCTAAACATAGGTGCCGATATCTTTAGTGAAGACGCAGGCGTTTATCATCACAAGCCTGGAATGAAACCTGAGAACATTACTGTATTTTTGTTCCAATAACTTCTCTCATTCCGACTCGTTCAGCTGAAGTTCAGGCCGGCGTTCTGCGCCTTCTGACAGCTCGGTCACCACGACTCGCCGCTGAGTGACGGCAGGACGTCAGAAGCTCGTCTGTTCTGTCCACGGGAATGCTAAAAACTTCCCTAACGTCATTCACTAAGATAGTGATAACATTCCTAGCTGGCTGCTTGTTTGTGCTCGACTTTGGAAGTGAATATTCTCGCGAGCACTCCGTGCACAAGAAGGGATTAGGCGTCACAAGATTGACACTGAGCAGATAATTCCGTGTTTACGTTCGTGCTGACGCAACTCACGTATCCGTAAGCAGTGTTTGACCTCCAAAACGCATTGGCGCAGTGTGGTCTGCTTGAAGCGCGCCGCCCACGTGGACAAATATTACATTATCAGCTGTCTGGACGCTACTGCGCATTTAAGCTGCTTCTCAGTAGCCGAATTCTGAAAAATGTGCAGTGATTTCGAAATTCACAGTTTTGATTTCAATCTTGAATTGTAGTGATTTCGAAATTTACAGCACTCATCTGCGACTGATATCCATCGCTTTTAACAACGGGCCGCCTTAGATAGGACAGTACATCAGCCTCATTCCTCGAATAACAGCCAGGAGAATGGAGATATAGTTGGGTAGATGTTTCGGCCACATGCCTTTATCGAAACGATAGCAGAAGCACTAGGTCACGTTTCGATAAAGGCATATTGGCGAAATATCAACCCAATTACATCTCCATTCTCCTGCTTTTTATCCGAGGAATGAGACTAATAGGTACTACTGCCTTATCTATGTGAATAATGTTCCTCGCTAATGCACTGAACAACTAACGAACATCCATGATAAAGACGCGCTCTGTTTCCAATCTAGGGAGCGTCTAACAAATGATGTACAAATGAATGCTAGCTATGAAGCAGCGCCGCCGCAATGATGTCCAGCTGGGCGTGACCTCGTCGCCGCCACCCCTTGTGACTTTCCTTTGATCTAAAACTTATCATGTCGGTCGCCAGAGGCGCCAGCGCTGCCGGCGGCGCTCGGTCAACCGTGCGTGGCGTCAGCCGCGTGTAGGGCGGCCGACCCAAACTCGCACTGCGAGGCCGGCCGGTGCCAGTGCGACCAGCCGTCGACCGAATGCAGCGCCGACAACATCGGCTGCTTCAACCACACCTTCCAGGTCAGTGACGCGCACAGGTGCCGCTTGGCCACTACTCTGAATAGAGTGACGCTCAGCTTGGCTGACAATCGCTGGAGCATTCCCACAAACAGGCCCACGACAATGACAACTGGCCTGCCCAGGAGAGGCCTCTAATATAGCCTGCTACGTCTCTAATCATGGCTCTCCGCTTCAGCTGACGCGCGGTCTAAAGTTTAGCGTGATGGCATCGATTTTAAACGGCTATTAATCTACGACAAAGAGCATGTCAAACTCTGGACGCCATCATATTTCAGCAATGACTTCTGTGAGCAGAATTCAAGCATTCATATCCAGTGCGAAAGTCTGTCAGCCTAATGTTCTGAGATGGGATGACACCGCAGCTGGCCACGGCACTTATCGCCTTTCAGTGCCGCGCCACCGGTCGCTGCATCAGCTGGTACTTCGTCTGCGACGGCCGCGACGACTGCGGCGACGGCTCTGACGAGCTGCTGTGCCGCCCGCCGCACGGGTGTCCGACGCTGACGCACGCCTGCGCCAGCGGCCAGTGCGTCAGCCGAGCGCGACTCTGCGACGGCGTGCGCCACTGCGACGACGGCAGCGACGAGCTGGGATGCCGCCGCCCGGCCCGAGGGCTGGCCGATCTGCTGGCGCCACACAGTAATCGTCGGCGGCCTGGGCTGGCCAGGAGGGCGGGGCGACCGACGGGTGCCGCAGGATAATTGTCAAGGGCGCATGGGGTTCATTCGGGTTCGTCTGGCTGCTGTCAGACGGGCCGGCATCAGAGGGCGTCTCGCATGGGCTGCCGGCACGCGGAGCGAGCACCCGCTGGCCATGGCTTCCCCGTATGGCAGCCCTTGTACTTATACTGCTTGAGGGTCGGGGGTAGTCTAATGACGATCTCTTGCAGGCTTTACGGATGATTTATAAGTATTTGATGCTGTCGTATTGTTTTTGTTGCTGTGTCGCGACGTTTGCCAATATTCCTCAGTGGTTCATAACCACAGAAGCCACACTTTCCATAGAGGTCTGGCTCTATTTCCCAACATGTGTGCATTTTCAGTATGGTTATTTAACCGAGGCAAGTGACCACTTAAGACGCGGGCTTCCTCGTCGTCTATGACCCCCATCAATATTTTGGTGGCAACGTTTGTCGACGAAACACGCAAGTGTCGGCGTCTGACACTGCGGTGTCTGTACCGTGCCCTGTCCACCCCCTACCCCGCCCGCACGAGTCCTTCTCTGCCTGCTCGCCTCCGGTTAAACCATGCCGTGCTTGCCCCCGCCCGTGCCCCGTCTTATAATGTCTGCGCGCGCCCGCAGCCTGCCCAGCCGGCAGCCTGCAGTGCCGCTCCGGCGCCTGCCGGCCGGCCGCCACCTTCTGCAACGCCGTGCTCGACTGCGACGACGGCTCCGACGAGCCGCACGCCGCCTGCGTGCTGGGCAGCGTGCGCGACGGCGTGCCCTGCCCGTTCCGCTGCGACAGCGGACGCTGCCGCTCCACTGCCATCCTGTGCACAGGCACCGACGGCTGCGGCGACGCCTCTGACGAGGCGCGCTGCCGCACCTGCAGTGAGTGACGCCACGCCCGCCCGCGTTACGCCTCATCTGTGACGTCACGCCTCACATGTGATGTCACGCATCGCCTATGGCGTCACTCCTGAACTGTGGCTTCACGCCTCACCTGTGGCCGACCTGCCCGTCTAGCACGGCCGGGGCGGGGCAAAGCAAATTGACGTGAAGAAAGTGCACGTACACGGCAGGCGAAGGGTGGCGCAATAGCTCACACGCATGGTCCTGTGGCCCCCCGTTATTGGAGGGAGCTGGAGGGGTCGGGAGATGGTCGGGGGACCCGATTTCATTCCATCTTGTGTTCCCCATCGTGGTGATAGGGGGTTCCAAACGTTCTGCTGCACTTCCAGCTGGGTCGCTCTCCTTAACACCTATCCTTAAGGTATGTGTCTCTTAGTCAGCAGCGTGCGATGGAACTTAGTGATTACGAAAAGTGGTTAGAAATGGTGAAATGGTATCAAATTTTTCCTAGTACCGTAGAAAGCATAGTCGTTCAAAGTTGTTACACAAGAGTCGAGCGAGTATGGGAGACGCTTCTGGTGTCAATTTCGGGATAAGCTGATATATTTACTTTCTATGTTCGATGCACCGATGTCACTGCATCCGTCTACAAGCGATATTAAAGTTGTGTCTGTCGCAGTATCCCGTACACTTATATTGTCATACCTGGTTACAGAGTGCCCAAGCTTCAAAGCAAGAGCTCGGAGCAGCAAACCATACAAGTTCTATGGATGAAAGCTAGTTTCGTCGTGGTGAACAGTGCGATGTGCAGATGCTTGTGCGAACATTTGCGGTGATTTGTGGAGTGCGAGACCCTGATCGGTCCTGATCAGGTGGCTAATCTGCGCAGTGTCACAAGGATCCCGGCCACATTGTCACGTGGGATCGCGTGCAAACTGGCTGCTACTAGACACACACATATGCACACACACATCCGTCAGATGGCGACAAACGCATGCCGGCGTTGTTTGTTTATGCCATTAATGACATCAGGCATTAGTGGACAGTGTTCAGCGAAGGCGAGCTGCTGCTGGCGTGAAAAGGAACCGGGTGTCTTCTGGAACCTGGCGCAGCCTTCGTCGTTGTCCTTATTTTCCCGCCGTCCCGTAATAATCCTAGTCGATGCCGAATAGGTAGGGAGAGTTAATGTGATATGTCAATGCGTTTGACTATGGTGTTCAGCATGCTGAGGGCAATCACTGCACAGATGTCAACGATCGTTGTTTTAGCTGGGTTCGAACGCGCTTCGACGCTGTGTCCTTGAAAGCGTGACAGAGATAATTAGCAATTGCATTCATGCTCGAAATCTGACACTTTTTGTAATGTTTTTGCGATAGTTGTCGTCACATGACCGTAGTGAATACAAGCTCTGTGTCGTGTCATCTGACCTACCGACCGGAAAAAGCGGGTGACATAACAAGTGCAAATGCAAGTGCAAATGCATTGCAAGTGGTGGGTAGGGTAAATACACTACAGGGTCACAACTTAAGTTTGGCACAAGGCGAGAGGCCTGCGGCTCCCTGCCTGATTGGCTCGTAAACATAGACGGCATCTCAGAAGAACCAGCACGGCCTCTGCTGTTTACATGAGAGTCGAGGTAGGGGAGGGAGAAGAGCCAGGTGGGCCTCATCAGCTACGCAGTGGACGTCTGTCTTCACGTGGTCAATCAGCTTCTAACGCTTCTCCGCAAAACTTCCTGCAACTTTTTGGTACTTTTGCACCCGAAGTCAGCGTTCTCTCGGTGCTCTCCATCCCTTTTCCTACACACTAGCCCTCAAGCTTTTCCAGAGTTCCTCGGTGGGACGGCGCCGTGGCCCCGAGGGTGGGTTATCCTCACGGCAACCCGTGTGCTGAGCTTCAGCAGCTCTCCTAGGGCGAACTTTGAATGTGTCTTTGCCGAGTCATGGCCAGAAAACGGCTTTGTTGCTTTGGCGCGAGTCTAAAAACCTGCTTGGACGAAGCAGGCATGTTTCTTGTATTTTTATCTACCAAGTTATCTCCTGAAGACTGCAAAGCCTTCATCAACCGCCGTTACATTCACAGACTCTCGATACGGCCGCCCACACCGTGACTTCATAAGAAGTCTCCGAAAAAAATTCGGAACGCATATTTTTGTCCTTTTAAACGCAGTAGTCATGATTAAACTGCACTTTCGGGCAATCAGATGCAAATAGCTCTTATCATTCATTGCGGAACCCTTTTCTTGATGGGCTGCCGGAAGCCTCGTTCTCAGCTTTCAGTATGTGGTTTTCCGTTTTTGTGACACCAGACACCATCTCACGACGTCACCACCAGAGTGGCATCTTTGATTGGAGTGCTGTGGCGATGAATTGTATGTATTGCTGATGTATGGAGACATATTGCTGATTCACTTGAAACTTCACGGCTACAAGAGCCGATGAGCGGTCGTTTTTCGATGTCACGTGCGTCTTAAGAGTATTTACGTAATGCACCATCTTTTTAAGCCAACAGATGATGTCTGAGCCTTCAATTAAATTACTGGGGACATTGCCCAAACTTTACCATTTCATTGGTAGCTGATCTACGGGGCATATTCATCGCAGAAATGGGACTTGCCGAGCCAAACTTCCGTCGATGTAGTTTTTTCTGTAAAATTAGTCAGCAATTAGTGCCATACTTTTTAAGTATTTCTCACAAAACCAACACCTTGAAATGATTGATCTAAAAATCGTATAGCATGGAACTAGGGAAATCAACACGCGTACAAATTTCAATTAATTTGAAGCTTTAATGTCAAATACAGCAAAGAATGGCATTTGCGCAAGATAGGTTGTGCACCTGTATTCTAACCAATGCGCATAATCTCATCATTGTCATTGTAAATGTACGCCTTGTTGGCATCTTCGCATCATGAGAGTTTGCGTCATTATACTCATATCTACGCCACTCATGGCGTTATGATATGGGAATTACGGTATCTGGAAATCCGAATTGTATCACTTATCTAGACGCTGTAGAAATGCACCGAGGATGACCCAAAGGGTCATGCCCCTCTCCCCGTGATTTCATCCGCCCCCACAGAAACCATAGGCTCTGGCGCTTTTGAGGGCGTCCTACAAAATAGGTATGCACGGTTGGTTACCTCTTCAGGCATCTCAGAAAAAGTTATAGTCTATACGTTGAAGCTCATTGTTTAAGCGGTATGGTGCACCCTTACCTGCTCTGGCGTGCACATAAACCTACGTAAGCTTGATAAACGTAGCAAACTTCGTTGCCTGCATTACCTGCTACAAACCACACATAAAGACGTAAAGGCATAAGGACATCTGGGCAACAAAGAGCCACAAGGGCGCCTCAAGGCTGGTCTCCTTCAGGCTCTGTACACATCCTCGAAACACATATTTCCACCCGACATGCATGCATTTAGCTACAAATGAGATCTTTAGACCGACTGAACTTGTCCAAACAGTTTTTTAAATGTTGCTAGAGAGGGATTTGCTATAACTCCCCTTGTCAGCGCGTACCGATGGTTTACTACTTTTTGACCAAATAACGTCTGCCTGTTCTTAGTGCTATCTTTTATTGAATGAAACTGGTTTTCGCTGTCTCGGCCTAATTTCTAGTGCTCCATGTAGTGTTCCACCTTGTCTATCCCCTTCATAATCTTAAATACCTCTATCAGACCTCATGGAAGTCTGCAATATTTCAGTGGATACAAATCCAAGGCCCTAAGCCTAAGCATATATTCTAAGTCGTCAATCCCATTTATCATCCTAGCTGCTCTTCGTTTTATTCTTTTCAGTCTGTCTACATCTGTTTGGGAGCATAGGGACCAAGCCGGTTCATAATACTCTTGGTGCGGTCTGACGTGAGCTAAGTACAACTTTTTGATAACATTCCTTCTCTTGAAATAGTTTTTTCTATTGTAAATTTGCAGCATCCAAAGCGCCATGCTCCCAGCAGCCCAATATTGCTTTTCACTGTTTAAATCAGAAATAATGACCCACAAGTCCTGTTCATTCTCAATCTGGTCTAACTCCTGGCCTCCCATTTTATAGCTCGTGCTCTCAGTGCCAAAACTAACTAAACGCATCGTCTTACACTTGTCATAATTGAATGACACCTGCCACAGGGAAGCCTAGTTCACTAAATTACTTAAGTCAGCTTGAATTTGCGTCACGTGTTTGGTATTTTTCTTCACATCTACCAATTTATTATCGTCAGCACACTTAAGCTCCTTACTCCCTAAATCTATCCCAATATTTCTAACTATCCAACTATCTAACCAATTCTAACTCAATGTTATTAAAATAGCTCCCGGTGAGATATCGTGCCATTGAACATTACTCATTGTTTCCTATCTAGCAGCCATGTCCTTACCCAGCCAAAAAATCCCCAGTGCCATGCAATTTTAACTGATATAGCAGACGTTGCTGTCCCAACGGTCAACGGTTGCTGTACCGGAGGTCCCAACGGGGCTTCATGGCAATGCGGGTCAAGAGGTTGTACTTGTACAATATAATTTTTGTGCGCAAGATTTAAATTTGTCGTACAACATGTGTCAAATATTGAGTGAAATACATTTCCAAAATTACTGTAATGTTTCCCTAATTTCATAATGCCTTGGTAACCCATAGACCCGTGCAAGGTTCTGTGCTCCGGTGCACAAGGCGCCAGCTGAGCTGTCTGCCAGAAATACGTCAGTGGAAGAAAAATAACGCCAGCAGGAAA